AGTTGATCAGGGTAGGGAGGTGGGGAAATCTGGGAGAAATTAGGGGAGAGAAGTAAAGAGTGAATATGATCAAAATATATAAAATTCCAAAAAATAGGAAAACACAGATTCATTTTTATTTAAAACAAAAACAGGACTTTGCAAGCCTGAACAAGTCACACCTCACTGTTAAAAGACTTCACGATACGACTCAGACCTCTGAGTAGGAGACAGGATACAGGCTGGCTACAAGAGACACATCTGAAGGCCAGAGAACACATGAGTGAAACGAATTAGCCCTGTCTCACGGCACCAAGCACAGCACTGAACTTGGGCAAACCCACATGGCTTCTCCAACACTCGGAGCCGACTCTGCTAACCTAAGATGCAAGTCCCTGCGTGTTTTCCCAAGTAAGTGCGGAAGGGGACGCCACCGGACCTGTGAGCCGTGCTAGCACAACCGTACAACAGAAGGCACAAAACAGGTGCGCGGTGAGCACTGTGTGACTGGCAAAGAGTATTCGCCTAACTCCCAGCCGCCAGCCAGCTAGCTGTGGGGTCTGAAGCGGTCGCTTCTTTTCCCTGAACCATAGCTTTATCATCTGGATCGGGATCTCAGTGTCTACTCCTGGGTTTGCGGTGACCACCTCACGTCTGTATGTGGGAGCAGACTCCGCTCTTGGCACACGAGGCCCTTTTGCTTGATGTTCTTACCACTTTGGTTGCTTTTGTTTATCATCCGTAAAAAGAATAGGAACTTTGCTTGCTTGTTTTTGTTTGCTGTGCATTTTGCTTTACGGGCATACAACCCCGGGGGATCAAAGCAGAGTATCACACAGACTGATGAGCACTCTACCTCAGAATCACAACTGTGGTGGGTTCATATTCTTCAGCAGATCTTATCAAATGGATATCCCCGAAAGATGCAAGAGCTTTAGTAAAAACTTCAGACATCATACTGGATCTGGGGAGCTTGTTAATTACAGACGATTAGGAAGCCAAAACACAGGCTTTCCGTATGGGCCTTTCTTGTTCCAGACAGGTGGCCGGGTAGTGCATGCCTTCAGTCAAAGCACTGGGAGGCAGAGGCAGGCGGATCTCTCAGTTCAAGACCAAGCCTACACAGAGAAACCCTGTATCGAGGAAAAATATCTCAAGAGCCTTCCCGTGGCTCACAGAAGGGCACGTTTGCATTCAGCTGTGTCTTGGGGTAGAATCTGGCTTTTATTTCTAAGACTGAACATTGTACTTTGTCTCTGGGCCCAGGTCAGTGATGCTGTCCTGCAGATGGGCTCCCATTCCCCTGGAAGCAATCTTAACATTTGATCAAACTCAGTTCATTTGGTTGACAGGGAGTAGGACAACATACGAATCCAGACCTGGTTCCACCATAGCCAATAACCACCATGATATGACCTGAGTCCTGGGATCAAGAGTCAGGGATACTGTGAGACAGCCAGGAGGTGATTTTGGACTCTAGACCTTATTTAGGTTTATTTCATTCATCTTTGGGACAGGTGGACATGAAGTTTTATATGCTATCTCAGTAGTCATCATTTTTCCAATGGTGCTTGAATCTCTATATTAAAGCAAAATAAAACAAAAGCCTAATTTTTCCCTTCTCTTGCTTCTGTGAATTTGGGGGCTGTTACAGCCACTGTCCTCAGACAGGTAGGGAAAAACTGTCTGAAAACAGGTCTTCTAAAGGACAAGACAAGAGATGGAATGAGACGAAAAGGCGTGTGCAGATATTTCTTGAGCTCCTACATCAAACTGTTTTGGTTTGGTTTTATCGCTGTTACTGTTGTTTTGCTTTTTTTCCCAGTTAAACGGCCAATCAATTTCTCTGTGACTTCAACAGCTTTGAATTAGACTCTCACTAACTTACGAGTTCAAACAAGAAAAGTTTTCAAACTAGTTGACAAGTACTACCATTCATATACTTAATATGTTTTCATTTTTAAAAATGGATAAAGTTGATCGATAAGCTCAATGAAAACTTCGGGCAGAACGATCATGCTAGATCTATAATAAAGACAGGTTAAGAACGCATTTTTTTCCCAAAGGCATTAGCACTAAAGAGAGAAAAAATGAAACCCCAGCCTTTGAGCTGTGGTTGCAGGCTGTTCTCCAGAAGAGCAGAAAGGAGTTTAGTGGAGAATCAGGAAGGGGACTCTCAGGTGCTCCACAAGGAAGGAACCTTCTCAGAGACTCACAGCACACAGTTTTCTACGTGCAAATGAGGAACATACCTGCCAAATCAAACCAGGGCCAAATCTAAAACTTGCAGATTCCTGCAAGAAGAGAAACGGTCAGTGGCGCAGTTTTCTTCCCTGCCTCTGGGTTTCACTCAGGGGACATGGTGAGAGGTGTGTGTGCTGAGGGTTGTCCCTTACTGGGATGCAGATGGCCTTCTCCAGGGCTAACCTTGCAGAGACTTTCACAGGAATCAGCCAGTGGAGGGCTTTCAGAAAGTCCAGGAAAGGAGCTCAAAAGGCAAGTGAGGGATAATCTATCAGCTCCAACTCATCCATCTTCCTGAGACTAGGGGACACTTTAAAGAGAGCCTGTTCTGTATTTCTGAAAAGGACATGGTGGTACAGGTAACCCTGGCATTTGGGGTGAAAAGACAGGAGGACCCGGAGTTCATGGTCACCCTTGATTACATAGTAAATTGAAGCCAGCTTGAGATACCTGGGGCATGAGACCTCTTTAAAAAATTATCTAACTTTAGATTTGGAAAGGCACTAGATAGCAAGGATGATGTTCAGCCAAATCTGAGACAAAGCACAACGTCAAACTCCGAGCTCTGAGTTTAAGTTCTTTTCAGTGGTGCCCTATAAGATTTGTCCTGTCTGGGTTCCCAACACTCTCTAATTTCTAATGCACAAAACTGGATGAGATCAGAGCCTCTGTCACAAGTCTACATGTGTCACAGGAGATGACCCTGCACCAAGGGCCTCCATAACTCAGTTTACATATCTGCAGTCTAGGTGCTAATGGAACCAGGGATAAAAGATAAAACTCATGTGATCTGGGAGGCATCAAAATGACAGCAGAACGGTGACTCTGTTCCCAAGACAAACACTGATGTTCACTTGTCCTAAAAATATGGTTCTACACCTATGCTCAGCACCGCCAGCATCCGTAAGTGAAAACTCTAGGCTCACTTAACTGAGAACATACTTACGTTAATTTTGCTCTTATATTTTATGCCTCCCAAATGTGAAACTAAATGAATGTTCTTTACTCCCTTTTTTCTCATATAATAAAATATGAAGCTGGAATAGTAAATAGAATAAAACAGAATTTCTACTTTAAACAGTCACCAAAAATGTAGTAGTAGTCTTTAAATGGAGACATTTAACAAGAGAACACTTACCATCAGAGACAAGGAGCCTCTCAAGGGATCTCTAGAACTCTCCTTTTCTTTAAAGAAATGGAAGTTTGGAAACAGATTATGTACATCCTCTTTTTATTACTTTTTTGTGAACATGGAGGCAGGCGATGCAAAGGGAGGAAGATGGGAGGAAGAGTCACACTTCTAAAATAAGCTCATTTCTCTCCTGTCTCTGTCTCTGTCTCTGTCTCTGTCTCTCTCTCTCTCTCATATCTCTCTCTCTTGTGTGTGTGGGGGTGTCATGTTTTGTTTCAAGCTTTAGTTTTGATTTTTTTCCTCTTCATTCTAATTTCAGTTTTGGTTGCAATGAGAAGTAGGAATGCCAGTGATAAGCCATTGTCCTCTAACAAGAGAATGAAGTTACATACATTAACAGCCACAGCCCACAAGCTGGTATTAATCCTTACTGTTCAATCCTCCTAAGATTTCATCCAAATGACACTTTTCAAACCAACCTGCCCAAGTATCTCCTGAATGTCCTGATTCCTGTAACTGTCCTGGAGATGTGTAGCTGTAAAGTCAATGTTTTATACTACTATCACGAAACAAAACCCTCAAGTAAAAACACTGCCTCTGATTCGTTTTTAAAAAAAAATATATCTTGCCACAATTGTACATGCCGATAATTCAACAGTTCACGTGAGCTTTTCTCTATGGACTGGGAACTCCTGACAGACAACTGGAGATCACATACTGTGAGACAGGAATGTCAGCAACCTGTGAGCAAGCTTCGGGGCTCTCACAGGACAATGGGGTCTGGGAATCTGAGTGTGAACTCAGGTATGGAATCTACAAGCTGCAGCTATATTCATGCTGAAAACATTTTTCTCCCTAATAGAACAATTTAAATAAAATTATTCATTCTTAAATAATTTTACCATTTGTTTCCTTCCAGCAAAAAAAAAGAAAATTTGGTATACAAGAGTTCCAATGTCTAGACATTGGCAAACCAAACATGTTTCATTTACATTTGCTTCCTGATCAGAGACCAGGATGTGCCCCTTACCACCGACTTGATTATTCCTCATATGCCCTAAACTCAGTCAGGAGGATTTCATTTTTTATTCCTTGGAATAGTTTCTCTCCATGCTTCTCAATAACACTTCGATACTTTGCAAGCATTTAATAAATTACTCTTACTTCCAGCCTGGCTAAGAAGAGGAGGCTGGAGTTAAAAGAAAGTATCCTTCTTTGAAAAGTGGACACTGGGGACAGCAGAGCTTTCTGATTTAATGACTCCAGTGCATCCCCACTTCAAGTCCTGGTCTCTCAGCGCTGTCTGTTCATTGCCATGGGGGAGGGGTACTTGATTCAGAAGTAAACATTTGTAATGCCCAAACAAGCGAGTGCTTTAAAGGCATTGGTGACAGTCTGGGAAGGAGCCCAGCTCCTTTCAAACACGGGCTACTTGAGCCCTTTATTCTTTGGACTGGAAAAGCTCTTTAATTAAAAGGCCAATAAATGAAATGCACCAGGAACAGCAAAACGAGCCAGAAACAGAACACCCTCCATGGTGTCTAGAGGAAAGCACTGAACTCCCATGCACATGTTTGTCGTGCGCTGTCCTGTCACAACAAACTCCCAGGCACAGCTGGTTTTGACAAGCATGCTTAGTTCTTACCTTCATTTCGATGACAGTCTGGAGAGCCTTCGTCTTGGCTGGCTCGGGCTGAAGTTGGCTTCTTCGGTGCAGTTCCTGGGGAGGAACACGATAGAAATAAGCCTGACGGTTCATCCTTCTGCTACACCACGCCCTTCACACAGCTACCACACAGCCCACCAGGTCCAGCTTCCCTGCATGCAGCCACAAACAGGCCACAGGTGCCTCTTCCCCCGACGCTCCTCAGCGTCCCTCCTGCCTGCAGCCGTGTTCCGGTGAAACGCTCCTGGCACATGCGCTATTTCTGAAGCGTCCATCAATAATTAATGTCAACTGTGACAGAGCCAGAAAGTAATCATAGTCCAAACACTGTTCAACACGGACTGGTGCCCGGTCTTCAGATCATAATTTACTAAATTATATTACTCGGTGCTCCCAGCACAGACACAGCAGGGAGACGGAAGAAAGAAAATGACTAACGTGACTGCAAATCTGCCACTTGCTTCCTCGAATGGCACTCTGAGATGGAGGTAGGTTTGCAGTGTGCAATCTAAAGCCATTTCAATACAACTGTGACACGTTCTGGAGTGGTCCGGTGAGCCCTGTGAATCTCTCACTTCTGAATTTACACTTTTGGTTCTTGTTCAAAATCACATCTGTGGGTGATATGCTTAATGCTTACAGATCATGATGCCAAGAAATTAAAACCAACTATGTCAAAGGAGAGACAAAACTGGTCAAAGACAGATGTATACCCAGGAACTCCTGGAAGGCTGGCTGAGGCTCCCTTAGCTACAGAGCCAACAGCATCATTACGATGTTGAGCCTGAAGGAAACATTTGCCAAGACTTTGAGAAGTCATCTTAGCAGAAGAGGAAACACAAGGTTTGTTCTTGCTGTGCTCTGATTTTCTTCACAAATACCAGCAGTTTTGTGAGAGTCATTACCAGGAGCGTACACACAGGGCTCACATATCCAGGCTGCTGTTACAGGCCCTTTATGGAGATTCCATTAAGATTTACTTCTGATTCCAGAAAAAAACAGTTGGTAATCGATATGGAGTACCTCTAAGCTTTTGAACCATAAACATTAGTGTTAGAGTGGACAACATGGTTAACATCTAGCTTTGCCCAGAAGGACATTTTAAGTGAACTACTTCCCATCACTTCCACCGAACGTCACCACCATTCCATAAAGACAGGAGACACTGATATAAAAACTGTTAGGAAATCCACACTAAAAGACAGTCCTATCCAGGACGGGGCAGATGAGCAGGTAACCTAACAAGCATCCTCCTTTGACAACCTTTTATGCCAATGACCGAAAGGTCCTGACCAAGTGCTGAAGATGGACTGGGGACATATCACCCCCAACCTCATCCCGGAGTTCTGAGGATCCCATCCCAACCTCCACATTCCAAGCAATATGAATCAGCAATCTTACGGAATATTGTTTCTCAAACACTGATTTTTACAACTTTCCTCAATTCTTTAAGATGCCCTCACCTCAGCAAACACGTTTCTGCTGGTAACACATCCCTGGAAGGGACAGGGTCTACAACTACTGATCCTATTACATGAAGAAAGAAACTGAGGTCTCTGTCCTTCTAGAGGCTGGGGGCTGAAGGGATCAGGTAATGTGGACATTGTTCAGCTCCCTGGAGGTGACAAGGGCCTTTGAAAGACTGACCTTGTAAACACTTGCCCTCCATTTAGCATCTAATGTCCCTGGTACTTCTTGTTTCTTGGATGTCTTGGCACTAACAAATGAGGAAGATGGCCTAGAAGGAGAACCCAAGGTACTTCCGGCAAACAAGTCAGCCCTAGCGACGACCATGGGCCACTTCAGGTCACCTAGGTGATCTTACTTAGTGGGGACTTGGGAAGTGCTGGGGGTTGAGACCGTGTTTAACTGGATCCCCGAACTTGCCTTAGAATCTTGGTTGCAAGTGTGGAGGTTGAGAGGTGACAGAACATGTAAGCTGAATGGGACTCCTTGGAGACAAAGGACACTGCCCTCGGACGGGAGTAGGTGTCCCTCATGGGACCTTGGCATCCTTTCAGAAGAGGGTGCCCCAAGAGCAAGCCCGTCCCTCAAGCGCAATGCCCTACATTTGACTGTGTGCACCCCTCGCATGCGCCTTCTCCGTGAGCCTGTCTCCCAGACATGACGCAGGCAGGAGCCGCCTAGAGCCCACGCCATGCTCTGTGAACTATGAACTCGGAGCCATACGTTCAACGCATCGCTTGTCTTAAAAGAGCATCCAATATCAGGTGCTTTGTCGCAGAGTGGAAAACACAGGAAGTATAAAGTAGGACCCCGCTGTGTAGCACTTTCTAGGACCCAGAAACTGAAAAGAAATGCAATGATCTAACAGGAAATGATGGAATAATCAGGTTATCACAATTTACTCAGTTCTGAGTTCATATATTTAATTGTCATACTAGCCAAGAGAACCAGTTTCACTATTCAGCTTTCGTGAGACGCAACCAGCCCAGTTCCATATAAACTTCATGTGAGTCCCACATAAGCTTCATCCCCTAAAGAAGGCTACTTAATCCTCACCACGGCTTCCACTATTGCTGCAGCTTGGCAATCAAATCTCACAGGTCAGCAGTGCTGAGACCAGTTAGTGTCAAAATCATCTTTAAAGAGGGCTGGATAGATGGTCCGCTGACTAGAAGCACTGCTAGTTCTTCCAAAGTGCTCAAGTTCAAGTCCCAGCAACCACAGCATGGTTAACAACCCTCCATAGCTCCAGTTCCAAGGGAATCCAGCGCCCTCTTCTGGCGTCTGCTGGCACTGCATGCATACGGTGCATAGGTGCACATACAGGAAAAACACCCACACACACAAAATAAAAATCAACTAGAAAACCATCATCTTCAGTAAAAGACAAATGTCCAAGCAAGGTGCAGAGCACACCTGTAATCCCAGCACTGAGGCAGCCTGGTCTACACAGCAGCAAGACCCACCTTTTTAAAAGAGGGAAAGCAGAGGAATGATAGTTTCACCATCAATCCTATCCTAGAATAAAAATCAGCAGGCAACTTGAGGAAATAGGTTAACTTTATATAAAAGAGGTCAAAATAATCAAGAAACAACAAATGATTGGAATTAACATAAAAACCAAAGGTTAAAGGTATGTGTTGCTCTGGTTTCTGCAAAACATGAAAACATTAAGTAAACATGCAAAAAAAAAAACAACAACAAAAAAAACGCTAAGCCTGTGCGATAATCCTGCAAAAGTAGAAATAGTTCTCTTTCTAATACACATAATATCTCTCACACAATAAAAAACAGCTCAAAATCCAGACTGGACTTCACATACTATGTTACTCCCTAAGAAAGTAGACACATCCCGGCCTCCCCCTGCCCCCGCTACACCCCCACCCCTGTCCCATACCTGGGGATTGTGATTTGTATTCTCCTGACACTTGCTCTGTAGACCAGGCTTGCCTCGAACTCACAGAGATCCTCCTGCTTCTGCCTCCCGAGTGCTGGGACTAATGGTGTGCACCACCACCACCTAGATGGAAATTGTTAACTCTTACCCTCAGGGTACTCTGTCAATTGTATCCTCCATTTGTAAAGATTACCTTGATCTCCAGGTGTCAGGTAAGGGACTATACTAAACTGTGTGCTGAGTATGCAGACAGTCCTGAGGAGTCATCTTAGTATTTCATTCATCTCTAAGAGTCTGGTAATGCTCACTGAGCCCCACCAGAGAGGACCAGTGACCCCCAAAGACTTGGGCTCCTCTTCCACAGTGCAGAATTGTTAGCAAGCACCCTTCACCAACACCCTTGTATCTAAACTGAGCTTCCTAGCTAATGGAACTTAGACAGCAATAAGAAATCACCTCCCAGAGAAACTTCTCAGCTATTCCTAGGCCTCCTTCCTTTCTATCTACAAAACTGGAGCTGAAGGACTCCTAGATCCAAGAAGCTAGCAAGGCCTTAATCCAGAAGAGGCCTGGATCCCTGATGCATGGGAAGTCTGAAAAGTCTGAATGTCTGCAGAGGAAGAGAGAGTAAATGAACAAGACACTCCTGTGAAGCTACGTCTTGAAGCTTGCAGGCTTTACCTGGAGAAACCCCAGCTCTCTGCTTTAGCTCCTGCAATGACTGCAGAGAAAAGAACACCTCATCAGTCCTGTGCTGTTTGCAGCTCTTGAACTGCTGCAGAGACTTCAGTATGGGATTGTGCACCCAAGTTTTCCCAAGCAGACAGTAGATGAGCTCTTCCCCGATGCTTATGACTACCCCCATCCATCCGCACCCACCATGCATCTGAAACAGCAAATGGCTTTCCTTAGGAGAATTTGATGTTCTCACCAGGTGTGATGGAGTACAAGTTTATCTTAAGTACACGTCACCTCAAGACTTTTCTGGGTCAAAGATCTCTAAAAGAACCAAATAAAATAAGTGTGGTTTCTCTTTTAGAGTAGACACACACATACACACACACACACACACACACACATACACACACCAGTGTGCAGGCAGTGCCTCAGTATTCCACAGGACCTGGCTCAGAATTTTATCTTTGAACCAGATTTTGGGCTAAAACTCAATTGTTGTAGGAAAAGAGCACTGCATTGAGAGTCACAAACCAGGAGCCTATATCCCAGCCTGAGGTCCTGGCCTCCCCCTCCTCCCCCTCTCTGAAGCAAAGGAAAGGCATCTTCAGGGGGGTGAGACGGGAATGGAACCACAAGGCCTTCTAGCCTGAGAACAGCGCTGATTTAACAGGCAGTTGGCTCTGAAATGCTTATCTCTGGCTGCTGTTCTAGTCACCCCCATTCTCAGTACCAAAAACAAGAAACAGAAATGGGGAGGGGGGGGACTGGCAGTGCAGATCCAACTCACTGCAGCCTTTTCAGCTGATCAACCTAGAAATAGACCAAGACCCTAGAATTCTGGGCGTGAAATCCCAAGTGGCTCATTGGAGTGACAACTCTTGGTACTTAATGAGAGTCTGGGATCTGGTGTTTTCACCAGGATAGACACTAGCTTCCAAGATGAGCCTGGCAAAACAGTGTTCATATATATCTCACATGCTTTCTTCAGTAGACAAAGAGGGAGGAAAAAGAA